ACTGACGCAAAGAAAACAAATATATAAGGAAAAATATGGGCAGTATTATTAGATAGAGGGAACTTGCAAAATAGAAACATGGAAGACGATATACTATTATAGTGAAAGTAGTAAGAGCACGATAGAAAATCCCAAAAGAAATTCTACAGCGCTGAAGAAACAAAAGGCTTTATAATTAAAAAGGAGAGAAACCACAGAATATAAAAAAGTAAATCAAAATATAAAAAATAGCAAAGAAACTAAAATGATGGCGCAAGACAAAAATGATGGAGAATACAATATGAGATATGCAGATATCTGTTTTTCACGGGATGTGTGTTACTTGATCAGGCTTACACCAATTTGGGAGAGGTTCATAGGTCCATACAAATCATGAATAAAGTTCAACTTAATGAAGTGTCTACATCCGAGTCCCTGATATAGATACTGTTGCTTACCTTATTTAGCACGATAAACTTACCAAATTGTTCAAACCGATGTTCTCTATAATAGATATCAGAAATTGTAAAACAGTTGGATATTTCGTTTTGCGTACAAAAACACCTTAGATATTTGGGAGAAATCGAATATGGTATATAACATTCCATGGTAGACTGCCATTTGAAGTATATCGATGAAACAAAAAGACCCCTAAAAGGGCGTATGACATCCCATGGAAGTGATATTCGCCCCCATCACGAATTCGATACTATATCACTTGAAATGTATGTAAATTTTATCTAAATGTATTTAAATCGATTTATAGAGGAAATTGACTATCGATATCTCGAATAGCTATCTCATCATCATCATCATCAATAGCGCTACAACTCTTCGTGAGTCTTTGCCGCGTTTACTATTGCCTTCCATGTTTGTTAGTCCTGTGCCAGTAATTCTCATTGTTGCACTCCCATCTTCTCTAGATCTTCTCTGACTGCATCTTTCCACCTTTTTCTAGGCCGCCCTACAGACCTTCTTCCATCTGGCCTTTCCCAGAACACATTGTTTATAAGGCGATTGTCGTTACTGTGTATCACATGTCCTGCCCATCTGAGTCTATTGGCCTTTATATATCTGACTAGATTTTCTTTTCCGAATAGAGGCTCTAGCTCGTTATTGTATCTGCCCCTCCATTCGTTTGTCACGCTGTCTCTGCAAGGGCCATATATCATTCGAAGAATTTTACGTTCCCATACCAGCAAATAGCTATCTCGAATATATCCAAACTCATGAAATAAACTCTACGGCTGTCAAAGCTTACATTTTCGTAAGCTTTTCCATTGGATAATATTTGGATATATAGTTTTATAATAGAGTCAGCGAAAAACAACTAATTAGAGTAGTCTGTGCAGCAAAAGTAATGCAAGTTGCTGACCAGCTGGGTGTTTCCCAAAGCGTCGTAAGTCGTTTGTGGCGTCGGTTTAGAGACACTAGGAGTCCATCTGAGCAGCATCCAGGACGAATCGGCGCTGTAAGATTAACCTGGTGTCAAGAGTTTCAGAATTGGACTGACAATGACTGGGTCACAGTTTGAACCTGAACAGACTGAACCTGTTGTGCGTCCGTTGGCTGCTGTTGTTGGAGAAAATTTTTACTTTATGCATGGTAACGCTCGACCACATGTTGCGCATATTGTAACAAATTGGTTGAATAACGAAGGTATTGGTGTATTGCCGTGGCCAGCACAATCACCGGACTTAAATCTCATTGAGCATGTATGGGACATGCTCCAAAGAAGCATTACTCCACATGTGGGCAATATCTACAATGAGTTTCAATTAAAAGAGCTTCTGAGAGAACAATGGACACAACTACCTCAAGCAGACATTAACAATGTGTTTCGGAGCATGAACAGTCGATGTAGAGCTGTGATAAACCAACACGGTGGCCATACTTTATTTTAAGTTTATGTTTCGTATTTTTGACATTTTATGGTGGTATGTGAAACATGGGAGATTTGCAATATATTTTTTTGCTACAATTTTCTGCTTTTTTGCAATTTATGGTTTTTGACATACTAAACAACAATTTAAACTACAAATTTTGTATTACTTTTTTTAAGTTGATTACAGATAAACAAAATACGTCTATTTATAAAAATATCCCTAGACTTTTGTGTTGTGTGTATTTCCAATTAAAAACTTCAGTTTGACTGCTATATCTTTTGTGTCCGACACCCATTTTACCATTAATTAGTTCGAATTTTATTTTTTTGTTTATTTGACAACACTGTTAGTGTGTGTACTAATTAAATTGAACCGTTTTTAATTTCCATGGTCCACTTTTTAATCCACATAAGATACTTTTAATATTCGCAAGTGAAATAGTACACAGATCGTTCGATGCGGTTGGAGACACATTATCCAAATAGGTCAAAGGTAAATGCTGCTGTTAGCCAACGCAGTTTGTTGCTATGAATATTTATTCAAATTATTATTTATTGCTGTAGCACTTGTAATTAAAAGTGGAAAAAACCAGTTTAATATTTGTGCATTATATGTAATGTTGTTAATATTTACTAATAAAAGTTTATTAGAAAAAATAGGAAATAATGAGCAGAATGGTAATAAAGATGTCAAATAAGAATGTGGAATACGACGTAATGAAATATTGATCTCGTAAGTGGTGCGAATAGAGAAATACAAAGATCATAGAGAGTTGATATAAAAGATCCAAGGTAATTAAAAACTGAGACGATGATTACAGAGATTATTGGTTATATAAAGGGATGTGTACGAACTCATCACTTTATAGCCCCCATAAAATTATTAGACTCTCCGAGATGTAAACTGATCACCGGCATCATTTGGAGATCGGTAAACTCATCACCATAGATAGGTAAACTCATCACCAGTATTTTAGGCCCAAGGCGCTGGTTTATAATGCAGAAGATTGCCTGTTACCTGTTACAATTCTCGTTTATGTGATAAAATATTAAATTCAGAAATTATTTTAAGCAAATTGCTTTGAAATAGATATTAATATCGGTTGTCTCACGGTGAGTGGCCTATTAGACGTACCCGCCAATCTGAACGGTTTTGAGATCTGAAAATTTAGTTGCATAGGTTTTCGATAGTAAACTTTATAATGAAAATGTTTATGTGCATGTGCTATTTTCATTTATATCGGAAATAGTCCCCAACTTCGTTATTTAATTTGCACTCTCTTTTTATATTTCTCATTGAATTCTAGAGATAATTTTTAGCATACATTCGGTCCAAGTGATACCGTTTTGGCGTTATTTGACTTTCTTGAAAATAATAAGCGATTTTGGACACTTGATAAATTTAAAATATCTAAAAAAGGAGAGAAAGCTAAAAACTTGAGTGTGCCATTATTGCATAGAACAGGAAAGAAACTTAATGTTCTACACGGTTTAGGTTTATAGTTCATGCAGGGTGTCTCACTCTACCACCGTTCGCGAAACATGGAAATTGAGTCAAATAAAAAAGTTTTTTAAAATCAAGTAGTCAATCACCAAAAATTATTTTCCGCTATAGAAGATGTTGAATGTGGCATGATTTAGGTTGTTTTCAAGTTATCGTTTTTTTTCTTCTGTTTGATCGGAATGATCCGCCACCAGCGCCAAATAACTAAAAAAAAAACGATATAAAATTTATTCACCAGTTGTATGACATTTAGCCTTACATCCTTTCGTCGCACGAGTCCACAAAAGGCAATTCGATTTTAGAGTTTTTCGCAATTGAAATTTGAAATTATTAATAACCATCGTTTTTCGTCGTTGGCCCAAAACGTAATCAATGAGCAGTTCACTATCTACGTTAAAGGAACAAGAGCAAATAAAGAGAAATTTTTAGAATTAGATAGATTTTAGAATAGAATTTTGTAGAATTCATAAATAAAAACAATGAATTGCATTTGCTTTTAATACATTATATTTAAGATTATTTTGTCAAATTACCAAACCTTAGCGGTTTGCAAGGGGTCTATACCTGCCACGGGGTGCAAGAAGGCCAGTGATGAATTTACCAATCTCTCGGGGTCTATATTAAAATCCCCATTTTTAAGGCGGTGGTAAAGTTTGTACTATGTACGAGGGTATTTATGGTAATTGGTGACCAGTTTACGTGTACCCACATAAAGACTATCAGTTTTATTAGACTAGAGGCCAATTGTTCGAAAGCTAATCAAAACTTGATTGTAATCAAATATTTAATTACAATCAAATACGTCACAGGAGCTGTCAAAATTATGAAAAATTTCTTATTAATATTATTGATTTGTAAAAAAAACATAGAATACAAGGAAGGCAATTACAATGGTATGGTCACGTGATGAGAATGGAGGAGGAGCGGTGGCCAAAGAAAGCCTTAATGTATGTTCCGCCAGAAAGAAGGAAAAGGGGAAGACCACCAAATTCCTGGAGAAGAGAAATTACAAAAACAATGCAATCTAGAGGCTTAGAAGAGGGAGATTGGGGAGATAGGAAAAGATGGAGGCTGAAATGCGGGAAGCGGCAATCGCCGTAGGACCCCCGTTATATGATGATGATGAAAAAAAAACATGAAATTAACATCAAACAGAGTTTAATTATGGTTTATTTTAAATTAAAACGCAAAATAATAAAATTGAATAAAATATATCGGTTAACATAACCTCAAAATATGACGTATTTAATTTTAATTAAATATTTAATTACAATCAAGTTTTGATTAGCGTTCGAACAATTGGCCCTAACAGTAGAATCATGGCTATAGAGATTGTGTAAAGTATTTCAAATAAAAGTCTCTCACTAAGCATATATCATTTGTATACTATTTTTAGTATTTTTAATCATATTTCAAGAATACAAACCTACATATGTAACGTCATTTGGTTTTTGGTGCGTCTTTAATGTATTGTTTTTTCGTAGTTAAGCATCATTTCCGGCTTGGAGAAACTCTCTCCAACCAAACCATCTTCACCAACAATCAGGAATCACGCACAAATCACGCCAAAAAACGTATCTATAACTAACAATCGCAATTATTCTCTTTATCAAACATATTTATTTCTTCTAGGTGGACGATCAAATGAAACTTCTGCAGCATTCATGGTCGGATATGTTGGTGCTGGATCACATACACCAGCGCACGCACAATAACCTCCCCGACGAAACCACCCTCCACAACGGCCAGAAATTTGACCTCCTCAATTTGGGATTGCTCGGCGTCCCGAGTCTGGCCGACCATTTTAATGACATCACTGTCAAATTGCAAGAGTTGAAATTTGACATCAGTGACTACATCTGTATAAAGTTTATGCTTCTACTTAATCCAGGTAAGATTTTAAAACTACATTGCCCACCAGCTAGGAAGAACTTATGCATTTTCGTATTGCTTCAACCTGAACAGTTTTGATATCGGTCACGAATAATCACGATACTTTGTTTTTTGTTTAAAATTTCATCCAAAAAACTTCACGACAGCATAGAAATAATAAAGATGCGCAGCGTTGGTTCTTCCTCGCTGGTGATTACTGTACTATTAATTTAGAGCTATATACAGTGTAAGACACTGCTAATAAATTTTGAAGATTTAGTACAACTTTAATCTTTATTAAATTTAATCAAATTTGCGTTACTTTACTAAATTCAATCAAATGCGTTATTACTGCTATCATCGTTATTATGTATTTACGTATCAACGTTAAAGTTTAGTATCTTCAGAACATGTGGCTGACCTCAGGCTGAGTGGAAATATGTTATTTTGATTTTAAATGTGTCAAAATCGGTATGCGACGATTGTGCCGATTTTACCGAAGGTATGTTTAGCTCAGGGCACGATTGGTCCGGACTAACTCAGATGATCACTAATAGCCGAAGTAGGTTAGGTACGTGATTAAAAATATAACTAAAATATAAGAGATTATATAAGAAATTATTATTCTTTAAGATCTATACACCTAATTAATTAGATTAAACTTGCCGACGATTGTCCCAATGTTACCTGCTATAACCCGGTTTCGATAAAGTGTCCTTTAAGCTATGGGTACGATTGCGCCGGTAGCAGATTTAATCCTTAAAGCACGATAATTATTAGGTACTTACTTACAGCTTTCTTCTTCTTGTTCTTTTTCCTTCTTTAGTAGCTCTTTAAAGCCTGTTTCTTCTTCAATATTAGCCTCCTAAATTGTTTAAATTGTCGCACCATCTTTTTCTTGGTCTTCCAATACTTCTTCGTCCATTTGGTGACTTATCTCGTGCTATTCGTACTATTCTATCCTCTGCCATGCTACTGATGTGTTCCTTCCACTCCTGTTTTCATTTTGCCACATCCATTTATGTCTTCTATATTGCACGTTTTTGCTTTTTTCCCTATCCAACAGATTTTTCCCTGATATTCGTCGGAGTATTTTCATATCTGTTATGTACGTTAATATAGGTCTAATTGCTGCTTTATAGATTCTTGTTTTTGTTTCTTGTCTTAGGTGTTTGTTCTTCCAGATTGTGTCATTAAGAGACCCCGTCGCTTTACTTGCTTTTAAGCTTTGTTGTCGTACTTCTTCAACGTCTCCGTAACTAGTTATATGTATTCCCAGATATCTAAACCTTGCTTCCTGCTTTATTATTTTCCCATCAATTTCGTCGTCTGCATAACATAACATTTGGATTTCTTTGTTCCCCATTCTGTAGCCATGACCTTTACGTGCTGCGTGTATTATTATTTACAGCTTTAATCTAATTCATTAGGTGTACATATTTCAAACAATAATAAAAAATGTTTTATACGTAGTAAATATGAGGCCGTAAGGGTGTATTCTTGGAGTAAATTCATTACGGTGCGGCGATACATTGGCAGAGGGAGACATTAGGATATTAAGTCACCATGGGAGGCGGCGCAATCATACCCAGGGATTAGGGAGCATTTGAGATTTGTGTTAATTCGGCGCTACCGTTCCCTCAGCTGAGCGTAACTCAGGTAAACTCGGCACAATATTTCCATACCCAATGAAATGACTCACAGCATTTCGTTGTTCTTTCAGAAGTCGCTGAAGGTCAGGTCCACATATGTAGTAAAAACAAGCATCGTCTTATCATTCATAAATAATTTTCTTTGAGATGGTCAAGATTGTTGTGAGTCCGTCATTTTTCGGATAAGAAATCAAACACAAAGCAATCGTATAGTGTGGGATACAATTTTTTTAGACCAAAAAGCAATTTAAAGAAATGCCCTACATTAGAATTTGGATTCCTATCATCTTCACACCTTCTTTATGCAATTTACAAATTTTTCTAGAGAAGCAGAAATTCCATTAAGTATCTAATAATTATCTTGCTGTGAGGATTAAATCTAGTGCTGGTGCAATCGTGCCCATGAATGATATCGTTATGATTCCACGTTTAGGCGGAGCGTCTCTTCAAGGTGTGGCAGCTCCCTTACCAGGGAGTTAATTGGATAAAGAAGACATCAGTCTACGAATGTAATTGTTGTGGATGTAGTTTGGATATATTAGAGAAACGAGTGGGTTGCTAAGAAGTGTGGGTTGCTAAGAAGTAGTAGTCAGAATTGTTGGAGGTTAAGGAAGATTGTTAGCCATGCCGTCTTGGGGGTACCTTCGCATATTACCAACTATACTTGTGGGAACAGCTCTTTTGATTGAGCTTTTGGCTTGCAGCGTGTTAATATCTGCGGTATCTTAATAGGTGCCTGGGTGAGTATATGCCCTAGGCAATGGCAAGATAATTGGAGGACCTCTTTTGCTTTGATGTTGGAGCGTGTTAATCGTGCCCACAGCTTAAAGGAACCTTATCGAGACCGGAGTATAGCAGCCACCATCGGCGCAATCGTCCCCTGTCCGTCTAAATAACATTCTATGGAAACCCACTCACAATTAATCAAGACCTGATGTGTATGATGTTTTCAGGGTATTGTTTACTTTTTTAGTAAGAGTACTGTACTAGTTTCTTTATCTTCAATGCGTGCATGCCTTGTCCGTTAGAGATTTATTTTATTTCATGATTTATCTCGATATTTACTTATTTATTAATTATTCAATATCATTATGCTTCCGTCGCTTTCAGACATAGCCGTCACATCCTTATGTAAACTATTTGCTTTTCTTAGTGATTTATAACCAAAGCAGTTTAGTTGGCTTTCTTTTTTTAGTTGTGATTTACCCTTTTAACATTATTACTTTATGTTACTTTGTATTTTTATCCATAATTGTTACTCTTTTAACAAAAACGATCTATTATATTTCTATTACTAAAATATTCAAGTCCACAAAGAACGAACAACATTTTGCTTTTAGTTGACAAATTACTGCATTAATATTATTGCGAATGACTCACTTGCAATCCCTATATAATTTATAGTATCACTCATGGACGAAAAAGGCGTGGTTTAATTAAAGTTACTTGTTAAACATAAAAAATATATCCTAATAAGGGTATTTATATAACTTTTTGTAGTTTTTATACACTAAAATGATTAAGGAATGGATAAATTGTATTTAATTTTTAAAAAGTTCGTCTGTTAGTAATTTTATGAAAGCGGAAAACGCTAATATTATTCCTGTTGGTAATATTTTTTAATTTTCCGAACATGCCGCACCTCTTATTGACATTTGAAGAGATATTTTTTGTCAGTGGAAAAAACAGGCTTAAAATGTAAACTGTACAGAACACATCAAAGATATAAACATTTCTACGATGAAACATATCAAAATTCCTGTAAGAATTAAGTTTGTACCCTGTAATCATTAAGATGTACTAAAAATAAATACAATTGTCTCTAGTCTTTTAGTCTTTTATCACAAAATATACTGTCCCACACATGCCGAATAATGTTCAGTATAATCTCTATGTGTTAAAGAGGACGTGGAGGAATACTTGTTCTGAAGCAGAACTTTATCACGTATTCTCCACTCCCTCATTCGCGCTCCCTTTCTCTTTCTCTATTACATCTCTCTCTTTCCAATGGCGCCACAGGCGAAATCGGGCCTTGACCTCCTCCAAACTATGCCTCCAACAGTGCCGACTGCTGGTCGAGGTTCTTACGTCTAGCAAATAATTTTGCGCGTTCCCAGCCACTTCATCCTCCCACCTTTTTCGTGGCCTTCCTTTTGGTCTTGCGCCCTGCATTTTATTATCTAGGAATCTTTTTGACAATAATTAGGTCTACATTCTCACTACACTAACTAGAGTTAATGGTTGTACCTGGACCTCCATACTCCGTTTCCGTTAATAGGTCCAAATATCTTCCTCAGGACTTTTCTTTCGAAGACTTTCTGCTTTCGTTTTATGTCTTTTGTCATCACCCATATCTTGCATCCATACAATACTATTGGTTTCATAATAGATTTGTAGACCTTGATTTTCGATCTCCAGTGTGTGTTTTTGGAGCGGAACACATGGGCGAGTGAAATGTAAGGTTTGTTCCTCTTGACTATTCTTCTTTGACTTACTGGTTCTTCTGTTCCATCCGTTTTGAATGCAACTACTAGATATATAAAACTTGCTAGTTTCAATATCGTCCTCTAATTCAACTGTGCGTTAGTTTCCCTAGCTCTTGCCTGTGTTAGCTTTTTGTCTTTTAAATATTTATTTCTAGTTTAATCTCTTCTGCCCCTGTTTTTAATTATGAATATATTTCTGCCGCCTCTTCTGTTCTGCGAGATATAATGCTAATGTTATCGCCATAGACGCCAATCTGTATTGATTTATTTGTTTTTGTGGAGATTTTATCTTCCTATATTCAGCTGTCTTATCACATATTCGAGAGTCAGGTTGAATAGTGTTGGTGCCAGCCAGTCGTTTGTTTAGTATGTAATTAAAAACTTTGTACGCTGTGCATAAGATGATTGTGCCACGATAATTTTTGCATATCATCTTATCCCCTTTTTTATAGATTGGACCTATAATCCTGATTTTCCAGTCGCTAGGGATCTTTTCATCATTCCAAACCTTCTTTATACACTCTTTGTGCATTGCATCTACTCTATGGCGAGAAAATTCTCGTTGCTTATTCCCGCTCCTTCTTCAGCCTAGAAATTGTCGATATTCGCCTAGGGACAATCCTCCGTGGATAATGAAGAACGTGTCCAATGTCCTGAAAAGGTTAATGTTTGGACAGGAGTTGATGGAGATCATAGGTTCCTTATATTAATAGCAATTTGAATTGCGATCACTATTTAGCACTGGTCCAAAGTAATGTCCTGCCATCTTTGCCAAACTTATAGGCATATCGATATATCCAGCTAATAAATATTTCTAGAATATTCCTAAGGATCCAAAAATCGTATAATAATAAAGATGTTTTAGAATAATAAAGTTAATATTGGCCACTATTACATGATACAACCTGTATAAAAAGGTCTTTGTCAAAAAATGTAAATAAAAAAATGCAAATAAACAAAAATGCAAATCGATAGATCCAAGCGTTTTTACGAACACGCCTCCAAGTTTTTAATAATTAAGTTTTTTTGTCTAATACAGTAATAGTAATTCTGAAATATATATTTTGTAGATGTTCGAGGGATTACCAATAGGAAACACGTTCAAGAAGGATATGAACAAGTCCAGCAAGCTTTACTCGAATACACAGTTACATGCTATCCACAAGTACAGGTAAGTTTCAATACTTAATGTTCCTGAATGTTTTGATCAAATTTTTCTCGATTGTGTTGTATTTTTTAACAGTTTCTCTTCAGATAATTTCCAGCTGTGACTTATTAAGTGTTTTGCAATTGTATCAAAAATTCCTTTACCAGATCTTGCATTTATACTATTCCATATATTAGACATATTCTATTTCTTCTTGAACAGTCTCTTTTAAAACGTTCTGCAATGATCACAGTAACTAGTAGTTTTGATAAAGCTGCCCCACAGTGGTTAAATCGTGTTTCCTTCTTCTTCTTCTTCAGTGCATTATCCGGTCCGGATGTTGGCGATCATCAAGGCTATCATCGTTTTATTGACTGCTCTGCGAAACAGCTCCGCGGAGGTCTTCCCAAACCATTGTCGGAAGTTTTTTAGCCACGAGATACGACGGCATCCCGGTCCTCTCCTGCCAAATACTTTACCCTGCATAATGAGTTTAAGAATTCGATATTTTTCTTCGTTTCGCATAACGTCCCCGAGGAACTCAAGCTTACGTTGTTTCACTAAATTAAGCACTTCTTTTTCTTTTCTCATGGTCCACATACGATATTTTTAGTATCCTCCTGTAGATCCACATCTCGAAGGGCTCAATCCGCTTTTCTGTGGCTTGTGTCAGTGTTCATGTCCAAGTGTTCACGTGTTCCCAAGTTGTTTTATCATAGGCAATATTTTGTTCATCACTAGTATAATCTTTAACATATTTTTTTACTTAACTGTTTTATTCAATATCTTCCTTGTTGACTATATGTCATCTGGACTTGGTTCCCCTTTGGAAATTCTTTACGATATTAGACGTATTAATTTTTGGTAAGGATTTGAATATATTTTGAAATTGTGGCATTTTCCTTTTAATTTTGTTGCAAAGGGAACAAATTGACATCAAATCTTTGGGATACTACGGAATATGTCATTAGGCAGTTCAATTTTTGGGCTTTATCTAACAATAAAACACTGAAAACTTTTGTTATCAAAACTTACACAAAAATTTATTATATTATATTATCACTACAATTGTTTCCGCAGAGTGCCTTTCTCAAGTAATCTATTTTTGGCATGCGTTTAAACTTTAAAGTCTTCAACTGGATAAGTTGAGGAGGGGAGAACTATTTGTCTTAAGTGGCTATTGAGAATTATATCTGTATTTTTTAATTTGTTAATTTCCGTAGATTCTAATATAGATAGCTTAAGGCCTTTATTTTAAGTGTGAAGAATTTGAAATTAGTTATTAAAAGAATTATTATAATCTAGAATATAATGTACGATGAAGTGCGTACGTAGAATCTATTCTTCTATTATTGAAAGCCCTTTTCTGCTCTGCTATTCGTTTGTTAACCCTGCGTTGGTGTGGTGCCTGAAACTTACGTGCCTGGTGTGGTGGGGTGTGACATACCCCATAGCAGAATACGTCTTGGAAAACTCAATATTTGAGTATCTGCATTAAAAGTATATACATTTGATTTGAACATTTGAAATAGTGTGTACTATAAAAAAATTGAAAAAGTACCAGCTTAAACAATTTATTGCACAGTTCAAAAATAGCAGAAATAGCAGCTTAAAACCATTACATTTGTCTGAAATGAAAAAAAACTAAAGACTTCTAAAAACACATTTTTCTTTATTTACTTATAAATTAATAAACATTATAAAGAAAAATACGGACATCAACACAATTAACAACATCATTTACTGACTTTCCTCGTTGATGCAAGTATCACATTTGAAACATGCATGTTCTAAACAAACAAAATGCCTGCAATCATAACACACGTAGCGGCTTTTTCTGTCTCTTGTTCTGGGGCACACCCTTGTACTTTCTGACGTTTAGGCAACGGTTCATCACAATCTGCAGTCTTATAGCCCGGTGTCTCACGCAGTTTTCTCGGCAACCGAGGATTGTGTTGCCTTTCTTCCATATAATCTGCTATGAGTGACAAACTAAGAGATTTCAAATATTTTCGACGCTTCAGTGTATAGTTATTATTGTTCATCTTATAGATTACTTGGGAGTTAATTCCACACATATTCAAGAGCGCATAGAACACCGTCAACGGCCACCTTCTGCTGTTACGGGAAACGTCGTATGTACCTGATAGCTGGTCAACGGTGTCAACCCTTCCCTTGACTCTTGTTCATAAGTACACATATTTATAAAAAATTTTGAGCACAACAACCAGAGTAAAAAGTTAAAAACCACGTGAAATTCGGAAAAAATGTCCAGCATCAACAATGATAAACTGACTGACGGCAGAGGTGTGGTGGGGTGTGACATACCCTTGCGGCATATTATGACATCTATATAAATCAGTATTGAAGAAATTATGAAAATAACAATGCTACTCGATAGAATGATATTTTAGTAACAGCTACTGAACAATAGAGGGCGGTAAGGTGCTGTTTTTGAGAGAAATTCCGTTTTTTTGCATGCGTGGGGTGTATCATACCCCACCACACCAACGCAGGGTTAAAAGTTCTACCAGTTTGACCGATGTAAGTTTTTGGGCAGTCGCCACATTAAAGGCGAATTTATCCTTATCGAATAGGTAGATGATCTCTGATTGCACTTCATCTGTACCAGATATTGCTATCTTAATTTTATCCAAAAGGACTCTATAATGTGACTATACTATTATAAAGTGAATAGTTATGAGTGGCTCACTTTATTAAAGCTTCATGAATTAATCTGCTAGCTTTATAGTGTTTGCAGGGTAAATTATAATTTTTTATGTATAAAATGTTTTGTTTTTAGGATAAATTCAACAAGATGCAACAACTGTTACCGGAAATCCACAGCTTAGCGGCGCGAGGCGAAGAACATCTCTACCACAAACACTGCAGTGGCAGCGCTCCGACGCAAACCCTTCTCATGGAGATGCTCCACGCCAAGAGGAAATAACGGCCGCCGTCCTCTCCCACCCCACGTTACCATATCTGTGTGCAATACCGGCTTACACTCTGTACATAGGTTACTGGAAATCTCATAAGGACTAGTAGAGATATATTTTTTGAATGGGGAAGGGATGGTTTGGGAAGTTTTTTTGTGTAGATGAACTGGGTTTAGTATTAAAATATCAATATGGAGATTTTTTACCAAAAATCATTTTATTCGCGGCTGAAGAAACACGATATATAATGTACAAATAAAAAATAAACAACTAAAAATACCAGTAAATCTGGTATTAGCTTACAACTGACGTTTATAATTGTGGACTATGTGAGATCAACTACAGCGTCATGAACTGTAATTATTGGGGTCAACACCGCCAATGGCTTGATTGTAAGCAATAAATGCCAAATGTCATGACAATTGTCCAAGTCTACACCAAGAGAAAGATTTACTATGCATTGAAGAAGTGTAATGACTTATGTAGACTTTCCTTAGCAAGATCAAGATACTAGAGACTGGAATTTGCAGTTAATAGCATGAAGCATGGTATTTGAAGATTAAGTTGATCGATTAACAGCAAATATTAAATTTGGACCAGTTTTCTGGAAAATTACTGGTACAGTTTGGTTTTGATATTGAATCGAATTTATCTACACAAAAAATGGGCCTTAGACTGTTCTCGATTCCCTTTTTGTGTGTTTTCATATCTGTTTCTATTAGTCCAAACTATTATTGTTGACATTGATGCCTTTTTGAAGTACAAAGAGCAAACCACATATTTTTCTAATAAGCTAAACCTCAGACCACAGCGCCAGACTCCCGAGCTTTTTCTTCGTTGTTTTTTTTATTTATATTAATGTTGAAGTTTTGGATTTTTTTATAAAATACATTCCACGAGGATGTGATCCCAAGGGATACAAGGGCATCCTATAATTTTAGGCTAAGAAGTCTTATAGCTTTTTTCGTTTCGAGTGTTCGAGGACGGTTGCGTGAGTGTGAGGATGGAACGTGCACAGCACTAAAAAACGTGTTAAACGTAACAGCAGTACGTGTAGCTTAACTGTGGTGATGGACTAACTACTTGGGACGGTGGGCAACCTTGTCCTGGAAACCATTGGTAGCTAAAATGGTGTCTGATTAATATTATACCAGAGCTGATTTTGGTATATACGAGCTTTCAGTTGCTAATTTGAGCCGTTCTTCATGACTTAGATCTTCAGTTTACATCATCAACACTTCTCACTAAAAACATGCTGCTGGTGATTTGAACTCGGAGGATGACTTCAAAATGGAAATTGAAATCTCGTCGCGGTTATAAGTTATCGATCGTTTAAAGGCGGGATAGTTCTTTAAAGAAAAGCTTACCGTCCAGGTACAACTAACAGCTCTGTAATATTACGTGTAATTATTAGAGTAAAAATTTATTATTAGATATTAAGTTAAACTTTATTATATATTATGTTATATATATTATGAATGTTAATATTGATAATTGAGGAGGTAAGAGCTGGTACTGTGGTCTAATTTTGTGTTGTTATTATCAAATGGTGTAAGAGGAATGACAATGTAAATACAAATACCAGTTATTTCACATAATACAGACACCTTGTTAGTTGTTATCTATTGTGTTACAAACTTTGTATATTTTTTATTGATAATTACAGTAATCAGTGTTGTTCTGAACATATTTTCTGTGGTACCTTCATTAAAAAATACAGTGAATTATTAAGTGTCATATATTTGTAACATTCTTTGGTATTCAGAAAGATTAAAAATAAAACTCCTCGGATGACTTGATTTAAAGATACTGATCAATTAGGATGGAGATATCAGTAAGAGAACACTAATCAATTTATGTCATGTGTTGTCTACATTTTAACCTTTCTCTCTCAAGTCCTCTACCACATGGTCCATCTTCTCCTCAGTTCTTCTTAACCTGTCTTTCCCTCAACTTCCAACATCACTATCCCTCTTCCCGCACATAGCTTAGCTTTGTGCCCTCCAATTATAAAACTGGCAGGACCCTGGTCTACCTGGCCTTTAGCGACTCCACTGCTCCTACGAGTCCGACACTAACTAAGGTGGCACGATGCCAAAACATTGTGGGGCTCCACCTTACCCGTAGTACCTGTGTTGCGAGTACGTCACGAGGAACGTTGCGAGGAATTCCACCTCGCACGTAGACAGGTCAAACTTCTTTATTTACTCGTCCACAACATATGTCAATCCCGCTATTAGCGTACACAGGTCAGAATCACGGTGACGTGTTAGACCTAGGTAGACCTAAAAATTCTCAGTACTCTTATAGGGAGTCAATCTTTGACAGTTTAAGATCAAATCTGTGTAAACCTTTTTTCACTGTATTTGTTGGTATAGCAAGAATGTGAAACTCAGAAATGATGGTAAATATTTATCCGTTAAAGGCCTAACATCAAATTCTTTATTGAATGTATGATAAATACATAATTATTGATATATCAAGTTCGTTAATTTTATAAAGTAAAAATTTTTTTCTACAAATTTTAGTGAGAAGTTTATTTTCGTGATACTTTTAAATTTGTTAAAAATTATCTTTAATAATCTCGATTTTGTCTGATTCTGATCAGAAAATTTTATAATTGTTAAAATATAAGTATATTTTCCTTATATACTTTGAATACTAATAAGAACAATTATTGTTATCTCAAAAACATAGTTTTATACATTTTTTAAACACTTCTTTTTATTTAAAGAATTGAAGTCTTTATTAGGTGAAATAACTGTTGTTACAAATTCTCCCAAACATTATACTACCAATTATTATTAAATTTTTAGTGCAGGTTACCCCACTGGCAGTTGTATGCAAACAAATCAACATTTTATCAATTCCTCAATAATTAATACTACAATACAAAATGTCTTGATACTTTAACTTTAAACGTGACCTAAAAATAAGTGCAGTTTTGGAAGAAACCAAATAATTTCTTTACTCTTCTGTTACTATCAAGCATTAATCGAAAGTATTGGCAATGAAGTATTTTTATCCATTTATAGAACTTCTTTAGTAAGTACACTTCAACGTTATATCGACGGCTCATATCGATTTGAAACAAATGCTGTCTTTATTCATAGAACATTAAGTAAAAATGTCACTAAAATAACATTTTTGAAACAAGTCTACGGGACATATGGCAAGATGAGAGGATAACGAATCGAGTGCAAAAACTATTAAATAGAGAACGTGCCTAGGAAAATGAAAGATAGGAGAATACACAAACACGATGGTATAAAATCCTAAAAATAATGTGAAGACTAAATTGCATAAGCCAACCAAAGGATACAAACAAGTGAAGACTTTCACATAGAAAAACAAATGGAAATAAAGAACAATTTCCTTTGCATATGTTGTCGGCCAGTCTTTTTAAATCTGACCTATGATAAAATTATTATAACCAATGAGTTAATAATAGATAATTAGATACACTCATCTTCGAAAATACGAGTTTATTGACGATAAAAGATATAACTTCGGAGTCTATTTTAAATAATTTTAAATGATGCATCACCAAAGATACTTTATACATTTCAATAGTTTATTAATGAGATATCTTAAACTAATAAATTTTGCTGTGATAATAGAAAGAATCAAAATATATGTGAGTGGCACTATTCATAGTACGGACCAAATGTTTGTTGTATATCTTTTTGGTGGTGTTCTGTGCTATTTGATGGTTGTGATAATGAAAAGATTAAAATCACGGATGAGAATTTAATTTGAAACGTTTATATTGTTTTTATATTTTTGTTTTCTTACATTTTCTACATACTTTGTACACAAAATATTATATTTAATGGTTAGAAATACTTTTGAATAATGTTTCAAATCCGATCCCTGCACTATATGTATATTGTTCGTACATTATTTATACTCATTTTCACATAGGTCCGTTAAACTCGATAAAAATTAAACTCACTAAAATTAATGTTAAGTTAACGCTATATCAGTTAACCATCTAAGAAAAGGGACTTTGTGAATACGGGCATTAAAAATGTATCAATATTTTGTAAACCATTCAAGTACGATACTTTTAACAGACGAAAAAGTTTTTCATAAACATTAATTTAAGGTTATAGTACAAGACATGCTTATTTTATTCGTCCAGTCCTAGAACCATAATGGAAACTTTTTAATTTTCAAACATTGTGATAAAAATTATGTAAATATGTATAAAAAATAGGGTGTATGTATGATACTAGCAAGAGATATGTAAATGTAGGTATTTTTGAAATTATTTTTTTACATCACATTGTTGGTTGTTTCAAAGTTTATCGGGAAACTGATCAGATTAGTAGAAGTGTTGAAATATTTTTTTATATCAATTTTAGCCAAATAAGATTTATTTTAGAACATCACTGGCCGTTAAACAAAACACAAACTATTTTCGTAAAAAAAGTCCTTTATATATATAAATTTTACCATAAACCCAATGTAGGTCATGTAACATTTTTGGTTTGAGACTTTATATCAGTTTTTTTTGCTTGTATATTTAGCTTTTACAAAATAAACTTCACCTTATTTCTTCTCAGTGTGTTTATATGGAACAACTAAAACATTAAATGCAATTACACTTTACATGTTGCAATTGTTCGTTTTTTGTTCAGTTGATTTTAAACGTGTAGTTTTTCTTTTATCCCATCACTTCTTTACAAATGTCATACTTGTCATTTCATTTACATAGAGTATGTAACGCGTATCATTAACGCTTCGTGTTCTTTATCCGAGGTTTTAGGTTAGACCCCATAGAGCCACTATCTTTTTTTATTTAAAAATTACTTCTTTAAAGACGTATAGTAGTATAAAGAGATACCTAATTGATACATCGAAGTAGTTTTTTCTCTAGATTATTATTGCTCTGTAGAATATGTTTTATAGTAGTTAATTCTTTATTTTTTTGCTGCATTTTTATATACAAACATGAATGCGCAAATGTATTGTGTCTTACCTGATGGGATATATATGTGTTACGGGT